TACAGTGTTCCTAAGAAACAATCTAGAAAATCGAAATGAAGGGCTGCTCTGTGTATGAGCATCAGGTACAGGACAGGAATGAACACAGATGGTGAGCACTGTGCAGCCACAGGAAATGCATAAGAACATGAGAGCCAATAAAGGAGACCATTTGGGCCATTGAGCCTTTTTTTTTATTTAGGAACTAATTAATCCCAGGATCTCATCCAGCTGTTTCTTGAAAGACACCAGGATATCATCTTCAACAAAATGGCTTGTCAGCTTGTTCCACACTCCCACAAAGCTCTGGATAAAGAAATGCCTCCTGTTCTCAGTCTTAAATGCACTGCAGATTGCACCAATACCCTCTGATTTAACTCCAGAACTACCCCAGAATCACCTGTGTGCCCCGAGTATCACAAAGGCACCAGGCATCAAACATAATGTACACACAACAGCCCCTCATGGTGGAAATAAAAATGCATGTGTAGAAATGTGTAGTTTCAAAAGCCTTTAAGCGGAACATGCAACTGAAAGAGCTCTCCCAAGATAAAATATCCTGCTCCTGTAACAGGCTCACAGAAACCCTTTATTACCTTCAGCTCAGCACTTTCACCAAGGTCTTATCTATTATTCCACTGCAGCTCCTGTGGGGCCAAATACACACACACATCAGCCTGTCTGTGTCATTCTACAAATGGAACCTGATCACAATGACTGAGCATAATAGGTTATCACAAATTGCAAATGACTGTTCTCCAAATCAAAGCAACAGGAACAGAATCTGCAGCCTGTAATACCTGCCATCTATTACTTTTGGAGAGCTAAAGAAGAAAATAATCCTGAGTGGCAAACTGCTGTGCACCATCAGTATTCATGACCAAGGTTTGTTGTGGACTTGGTCCATGAATAGGCGTTGTGAACACACTGTTTAATGTTTCAGTGCACACAGCATCTGTGTGTGAGGCTGAAATTCATAACGCCTCATCTAGGTCGTGGCAAGTTGAAATAGGATGTACTGCTTTGAACTCCGGGGAGGAAACCCTGACCCTGCAGACGATAATGGTGTGTAGAATATTTTTCTATTAGGTACAGACAACTATACGAGAACAGCTTTGTTGTAATTGCACAACTTGGACCACTCTGCACTGTGGTTGTTACAGTTGGTAGATTATCTGAATTCATGAAGAACTCATTTGCTTCCTAATTTCAAACTTTTATGTAATCAAGCAAATCATCCTCATCACTGTTGACAGTTATCTGGCAGTTCTCACTCTGACACTCTCACTGTGCTTCCTCATCTCGGAGTCTCTAAGTGAGTCTCAAGGTCTCACAGGCTCCTTACCAGACACTGTTAACTCTGATGTCATATTTCTCATGATGTCACATTTCTTCAAATTTCCTCATGTTAGCTTTCATCATTATTTAAACGTCTCTCTTCTACTGGTGTCTCTGTTTTGACTAAGATGGGAGAAGAGGTCCTGTTTTGGACCTGGAGTCAATACATGACTAGTCCAGAGGAACTGGTGGTGGCTGATCACATCTTCAGTGCCTGAAGTGTTGATTGGCAGAGAACACCGAAGCTGGTGCATTAATCCTCCCACTTGATACATAAATGTTTCTGAAGACTTTCCTGATGATAGTCCTGTGCCCATTGTATGCTCTCCATGTTTCAGCACGGTGCAGTAGTAGGAATGATGACTGCAGCACAGGCCATCAGTCTGGTTTCAGTTTTGATGTCTTGATCCTCGAACTACCATTTCCTCATGGGATAAATGTAACTTATACTGATCCAAGGCCTGCCCTTGCAAAAGTCAAGCCATGCTGGATCTTCATGAATACCAGCCTTCTGTGCAAGATGAGTCAAGACATGGGCAGAGCTCAACCTTCATCTACTTCAACATGATCCAAAATGACAGCACTGATGCATGTGTATTTGGAACTTGCTGATGGAGAACTGTAGTCTTCTGAATGCTGATTGCAAGTAATGTCTTTCTCATGTGCCTTAAATGAAGTGATTGTTCCTGATTTTTTTAAAGTGGTGAGCTTACAAAGGATGGCAGGTCATTCCCCACTGCTTTCTGGGTAATGCAGTTCCATCTTATCTCCACCTATCATCCTTTAGACATGGCCATCCTTAAAGTAGTTTGGGATTGCTTCATTCCAAATCTGAATGATGAGTGTGAAGGTGTGGTGTTAGTTCTTGTTTACTGTACATAATAATTTCAGCAAGAATTCCGTCAACTCCTGCTGTTTGCTGTTCTTTGTGTGTATGATTGGAACCATCACTTCTTAAAAAGTTGGACGAGTTTCTCTAAGAGGGGGCTGTGGGATGGCACTGAATATCTTGAATTGTTGACAGTGGATTCTTGATTGAACAGCCCTTCAGCAGGCTCTTTCCAGAGGAACCAGAGTGCCTCTATTTCCTTCTCTAGGACTCAAAGAGTCTGAATTTTGGGCACACAGGCTTTGATGAGTTTTCAAGTCAGTGATGAAAACAGACCTATTTGTATTTGCTAATTATTCTCTGCTATTTTGGCAAAAAAAAAGCAGTTAACTAAGACAGGCTTTGTGAAGACCATACCAGAATTTTGATTTTGCATTCTCACTAAGTCAGGGGCACAATGCATACAGAACAGTGGCTCTTGTAAATGGGAGTACTTTACATTAACTGCATTACTAACATATACAGTATATAGATATACATTTGACATTATTTTTTTCAGAGGTGAATCCCCTTCATTTCCTTTTCACTCTCTCATTTTCCAAGTGGGCTGGGGTTTTGGTACTCAGCTCACATCTCTTGAAATCCCTTGAACCACCGTAATCCTTGTCAATGGTTCACGTGTGGCGTAAATAGATTAAGGGGATTCCAAAGTGATTTCATTAAATTGAGTTTTATTTTCTTTCCCTGTGAATTTCAAATGACTTTTAACAAGTGGAAGTTTTCCACTGTGGTCTGCAATGCTGCACACCTTTTGAAGGAATGAGTACTAAAGGAAAATGAAAAAACTGAGGCCAGCAGGGTGGTTCTTTCTTGATTACACTTGAGCTCTGAGAAAGATGAAGGCCAGCAGGGGTGATATAATATCCTACTGTGCTCATGAATGCCTATAAAAATAACACACATTGGGAAAACAAGATGCTGGACGAATGTTTGCAAACTACATACAAAGGGTATAAAAATAATATGACTTTGCCAATGGATTATTATGAGCACATGCATATATGAGAAAAAAAATTGGTTATGTGATTTAAGAATGTGAAAATGGCTACAAACGAGAGGAGCCATTCAGCCCATCTGGCCCATTTGATAGTTAGTCGTTAATTGATCTGAGAATCAATC